TATTTTAATACAGTTTCTATACAGGTTTAGGAGAGTAACAAAAATTGATCTATTGCATTACTCTGCTTGGAGCCTAATGTGTGTAAATATTTAATTGCAAGTGATCTCAGCTTCAAGGGTTTATAATATACCCGACTCTGAGCACAGCACTACAACCAACCAGGCCACCAAAAGTGTCTTTCTTCCACTCATCATAATCATTATCATCATTATTTAATATGTATATTGTTGTTGCATTTCTTTTGGAGAACATGTTTGATTCTCTTTATTTTATTTATTTTTTATTTTACAAAAATTCATCATTTCATTCATTGTTGTTTTCAAATTGATTTCAATTGTACAATCAATCAGCCTTACATGTTTGTCAAAAATGCTAACTTTTATCTGCTAGTTTTTATGATCATGTATAAAATACTGGGACTTAACATTTTGTCCCAAGTATGATATTCACCATTTTTGGAAAAATAAAGACAAATGCCTTTTTTCAAAATATTGTATTCTTTTTTTTTATTCTTTGTGTGTGTGTGTGTGTGTGTGTGTATGTATGTATGTATGTATACTGTTCTTTCTTAATCAATCTTTTTTATTGCAAGAGTGACAATTTATTTTAAATATGATTTGTTTTCTACTTCTATGTTCTGATATAGGCCTACATTTAGTATGTAATAACATTGAATATGTATACATCTTTTACTGTCTTTCTCTCCCTATTACATTATTCTCATTGTTTAATACAAGACATCTGAACAATTTATGATTTACATGTAGGCACAATAGGGGTGGGAACAGAACATTGTGTGTATGTGTGCATTTTTTCTTTTAATAATAAATCCTCAAATATTATTTGCCTTCACTCCTTCCAATGTGTTTTGTTGTTTTTGTACTATTTGAGTCTTAAACATCACCAATTACTTTCTCTGTTCTCAGTTTTGTGCTTTAGTCAATGTCACTTGCTGTTTTGTGCAAGGAAGTCAGAAGTTAGAATTGTCTTGTCAGTTGTAATAATTATTACATCTGTTTCATACATTTCCTTTGTTCATCTTATATCCATGCAGATACCTTGTATTATTTCCTTCTTAAGGTATCCTCTCTGAACTGTATTTCTTCTTGGGGAGAATAAACCTTATATTGCACAGATTATATATATATAATTATTTTCACACTTCACTAATTATTGACCTTAACTGTTTATACAAATCCTCTCTTCAATAAAAAAAAATACTTCATATCACACAAGTGAATTTTGTAAGACTGCAGGAATGCTTTGCATTTTTTAATTTTTTGGCTTTTGTAGGTTGAATTATTTTCTCAAATAAAAAAAAACTCTAAAGCTACAAGATTTCCCACCTACAGAATTTAATATCTGCTGCATGTAATTGAAAAGTTGATTCTAGAGAAACATTTGTAAATGTATGAAAAAAATGGGGGTTAGTTTGTAATAAATATATAAAATGCTTTTCTCTTATTTATTTTATAAAAATATCAGGATTCTGTCACATTTCCAATTTGAAATTATATAAGAATTTGTATTTTTGTTAATAATACTTTATTTGAATAAAGTGGAATTATACTTCAGTCAGGATAAATTTTATTTTTAAAAGTTAAATTAGTCTTTTTGCAAATCAAGATTAGTTATTTTGATTAGCTGCTGTTATCTACTTTTTGTTGTTGCTTCCTACAGAAAAAAATGGATTACATTTGCTGAGTCACTCTTTTCTGTAAAAGAATGAAAATCACTACATTAATTATTAGTTTGAATTGTTATGAAGCTTAAAAAATTAGTTTCAAGACATTGATATAGATATTTTTTATCACTTGTTAATTAATTTGCATTGAATTCAGTAATTGTTAAAAATATTCTGTTTGATTAAAAGCTTACAAAAAGTAGATTTTAATAAGTATATACTAATGTATCCACATAATTTGTATGTACCTTTTACAGAACTGATATTGCAAACTATTTCAATAATCTGTTTATGGCCACTTATGATCCTGATCACTTCTTTTTTCCTATTATCAGAATTTTTCTGTGACTGACAATGAAACCTTTTTACATTGAAAGGGTTTGAATAAATGTTGATTATCCTTAATTCATACATCCATTTGCCAGTATCCAGGATCCCCTTGATTGCATGTAATAGAGCATTTGTCATGTCACATTGACTTGTATACAATTCCCATCTCTTCTGTTCTTTTTAACATTCCTTTTTATCCTAAGTATTATTCATTATTTCTCTTTTTTTTTTTTTTAAGATTAAAAGAAAAAATATCAAATTTTTCTATGCTTTTGTTAAATTAAGTTTTTATTTTAGAAAAATACCTTTCTAAATATTTAGTTATGGAATCTACACGCATATTTTTGAATGGCAAAAGTGTTATTGGATTGTGCTACAAAACAAGCTGAGTATTTTCAATCTGTTTAAATCCTTTGTTTATCTCTGTACAAACTTTAGTAGATGTTTGGAAATAAACAAAACTACTCTATTGAATATCAGTGCATGATTTTATATCAGGTATTATAGTTTCTTATATTTTTTTGCGAGATGATTCTGAAATAATTCCCAGAAAATTAAATTTCCTATTTTCATAGTAACAATTTTTTAGTTTATGCATATTTCATTACTGATTGACATTGTTAAAAATAATTAATGATATAAAGCATTAATAATTATCAGCTTGCTCCCTCTATCTCTCATATATATATATATATATATATATATATATATATATATATATACACACACACTTAACTACTACTGATTTGGGAAGATATTTATAATTTGCAAGCTGTTATTTAATTTTTTTAATTCTAGACTGAATAAAAAATACGAGTGTAATAAAACATAAATTCATATTTTTATGCTTATAACAAATTCTCTCCTGCAAACACACATACTCTTCTCTGTCTCTTTCATACACACACACACACACGCACACATATATATATATATATATATATTTTATAATTTTTATTTTTTGCACAAACTTCCCAAAAACCTAGTCTACACATACAATTTAAATGTTCCCAATCTATCATAACCATTCCTAACAAGAATGATACATACAGTTACTATATCATAATAACAGACATGAAAATGCATGCTTGAACTAATTCTAGAATCACAGTAGAGAACTTTATTATAGAATTTTTTATTAAATTGTTCTTTGAGAATTTTTTTTTTTTTTTAGTAATTCAAGAGTCTAATATATAAATATCTTTTCAAGTAACTTTACTGGCTATTTATATATTGTCTCTTGCTCAATAATTTGTTGGTTTAGGAATTTTTCTAAATAGCACCGAAAAATTACCATGGCAAACTTTCTATTATTGAGCTATATATTTATAATTTAATTTCTATTTAATGCTGTACATTTACAATTGAGCTTAAAACCCTTATCAAAAGTTTGATACCAGTTTATGTACACTCTCTTAAGATTTATACAAAACAGTAAACAAAAATATGTCTGAAAAAAAAAAGCCAAGTTGTATCCTGAATTTACACACTTGAAATTATTTTTAACTGTTTAACATGTTTTCAACAGTTCACTTAGAAAATATCAAATTTATGAGGATAACTTTGCTATAAATATTTAAATGTGCCAAAAAATTTAATAGGTATAAATTCTAAAATGGGATTGATTAGGAGCAAGTATGTACCACATTTGTCCTGTTTAGGAATTGTATCCACATTATTACAATCTTTGCTAATGTTTGTCATCTTTTGTGCAATGCTCCTTTTTCTCAGTCAAATGCACTTTGCTTTATTGTACTCTCTTAGTCCACTTGACATTCATAGGCAAGTTAAATATAGAAGTTTTTACCTTAGTAAAAACTTTCTTCTTTACTTAAGAATATCAACAGAAATAGAATTCTTAAATATTAGTATTATTAGATTTAATGCTAATCACTACAGAGCTAAGAAAAAGTTAACATTTATTTCAATTTTTATAATTCTATTTTTTAAAATACAATGATAATAAATTTCAAATTATACCCTCCCAAACAGGTTTTTTTTTACTGCTCCTCCTTTAACAAAATAATTGAAAATATGAGCTATTTGGTAACACAGTGTGACTATTATCAGGAACAATCTACTTATTTTGATTAGCACAATCTGTAAAATAGCAAGTCATTGATAATCTATCCTTCTTACATTGAAGTTCTTTTAATTAGTTGCTATTTGTCCTTTTCTGATTCTATTGCATACAATTTATGCAGTCATAACTTCTTTCTAAAGTCTCTTTCCTTGTAGGATGCAGGTAAGAATACATCTGTGTCTCCCACAAGTCATAGAAGTAACAAAAAGGCAAATATCCATTACATGCTATTGCATTATTATTGCTCTTATCTTCACTTATTGATGCTCATGAAAGGTTATAGAATCTACAGATGTAGAAGCTGACATCAAAAGTTGTTGGATACCTATTATTGGATTGCTCTTTTCCTTTCCTTAAAGTAATTAAATTTTTATTATATATTCTACATTATTAGCAATCTACCTAAAATCCCTATTTGTATTCATGTCCATAATTCTTAAAAGATACTTAAGCTTACTTCAATTTTCTTAGTCTGTCTTTTCTTTTTAAATATCTTATTAGTTTTCCATGGCGCACACTGCATGGCTGAGGTAGATTGAAATTGATATAATTCTCTAGGGCTCAAAACTGATTTTAGCTTTTAATATTTATTCTCATAAGAAAATATGTTAGGTAATTGAAAAGCTAATTGATGTATCCAGATTTTAAAACTAATTTCAAAAATAAATTTTAGCTATAAATATTTAGAAAATATTTATTTTACTATTGTGATTATGAAGTGTAAATAATTAATAAGTTTATCCAGTAAGTTTAAACTGATGCTAACCAAATATTCATATTTAACACACTGATTGTTTTTTTTTATTGATACATTTTTTCTCTATTTATTTTGAAATGTTTTATTTTCTTGTTAAACTGATTTCACTCTATTATGTTACTGCTTTGTACCTGAGGCAACAGTCATGTTTCATTTCTCTTCTCTCTCTCTTTCCCTCGTACCAGTGCACTTTAAAAAAAACATTACTAATCATAGTAAGACGTGCATGTTATCTTGTCATTGCAGTGTCATCACCATCACCATGAGTTGGTAAAACTTTCATCCTTCATGCTTACTCTCATTTTTCTATTTTACCTATACAAAATATGAGAATGTGCTGAAAAATTCTCAGTCTCTACTTCCCCAAATCTGACCCAGTTACCAACCAATCACTTTTCAGCATCCCCTTCATATACATACTTTATTAAAAACTATATTGTACTTTACTATAAAAATGTCTTATGCATTAAGAGTTTATATATACATAACAGCAACTACTGCTAGGTTGGGAGAACCAGTATTATTTTTCTCTTTCCTTTTTCATATTTGATATCATTCTACATATGTATTTCTTTACATTATTTTCTTTTCTATGTGAAATTTTGCCATCCTCCTTCCAACCATTCCCAAGACCAGATATTTTTTTTTAAATTTGCGGAAGAAGGTGTGCACCCAAGTGAATCTGTGCTCCCCTTCTCTTTCTCTCTCTCTCTCTCTCTCTGTCCGTCCAGTGCCGTGTTACCTCCCAGTTGGTGTGATATCCACTGTTATCTCTGCCTTTCTGCTGTTTGCCAGGATTACTGAGACGGCTTCGATTGCTGAAAAAATGTTTTCTCACGTTCACATACACGGATACCCACGGCATCTGATCAGCCGCGTAAGTATTTCTTCCTCCACAACCCTGCAACTGCTGCTGTGCAATATACATTTATATATACACTTTGACAATGTTGTCCATATCTGTCAGAATCTGTTGTTGGCATGCCCATATTTCAGTTTTATTTCATTTACTTTGTGTACTCTTTGTAGATCCTAGTTAATAGTGTAGCAATTTTCCCCCTTCTATTTCCCTTTGTTTTCCTTTATTTTTTCTTTATCATTTCTCACCTGGGTAGTAAGTACCTGTCTTTTACTTTTCTCCCCACCCCAAATGATTGTCGTTAAATTTTCTGTTCTACTGATTATTTTATTGTTGTCTTGTTACTGTGATTTATAGATTTATCCATTTTACTTTATACAGTTGAATTCTTTTTTGTTAAAATCTTAATCTTTTTCTGTATTGAATTATTTCCTTTCGTGTGTTTTTTTTTGTTTTTTTTTTTTTTTTTTTAGAAAATTTTATTATTTTTCTGGATGTTTTTTTACATATTTTATAATGGTTCTTTATTTCTCATTACATTGCAATTTTATTTGCTGCAAGTAACTTTTCTTGAATAGACTCTTTGAAAATCATGAATGCAAATTGCTACCTTTTCATTATGTTTGTGAGCCCTTTGCAATGTTTTTGGCTGCTGTAAAATGTTACAAGTGAATTAAAATGGAGAAATTTTTGTATATACTGTGCACTCATTTCTAAATTGTTAACATTTTAATTGTTATTTTAATAGATGTATATTGCAATGTTCAAATGTTACTTAAATATTGTTTTTATTAGCCGAACCTTTTCATTGACCGAATAAATATTGTTCTCAGATGCAAACTCTTCAATTTCAAGGGCATAAAAATCATTTTGCCAAGTTAAAATATAAATAAAATTTCCCAATTTTATTCAATGTTAGAACATTATTTTAAGTTTCACCTTATTTATCCAAGTACTTGTTTTTCATGTAAACATAAGATTAGAGTGTGACTTTGATAAATTCCAAAATATGTTCCAGTTTTAATGATTTTATAATTCATTACTTTAAGTTGTTTCATTGAATACAATAAAATAAAATTGGAATTCTTTAAAAAAAAAATGTTTGAATCTGTTTTAAGAAGTAATTGTTTTCAATTTTGTCTACCTTAGGTATCTTGATTGTCTCCATGATTTTTAAAATATTAATTCTGGAATTGCTTTCATTTCATCTACTACCAACGTTCTCTATTTCAAAATAAACTTGTTTAAGTTTATGCCTGCTAATCTGTTAACCGTTATATTTGAGTCTTCTAATTTCACTTGTTTTATTTGAGTTCTTTATTATTGTAATTACAATCTTCATTCTTTGAAACTTTCAATCATTTCTGTTATTTTTTCTGTCAGACTACTTTTGAATGCCAATATGTAACTCCTCTTTTTCCAAAAGAGAAGTTTGCTTTTGTCTACTTTTTATTTATTCCTTAAATCTTTGATGGGTTTCTATCCTCTCTTCTAAAGCTATTACATAACACAATGAACTGCAACATACTAAAGTCTATATTCAAACAATCAATTTCCATCAATGATAATTCTGAGCTGACACCCTTGTCACTTTTTAATTATATTAATAATAAACCATTAAAAAAAAAACAAGTTGAAACATAAAAGCATTACACAGAATGGACTACTTGTCACATAAAAAAAGTAAATTATTTGAAGTTAACTTCAGTTGGATTTAGATTCATTTGACTATTTGCCTGTGGTGTCCACCTCAAGTGTTATCAAATCCAATGGAAATATTCAAACATTTATCAAAGTTGAATTATTTAATATAACTGTATCTTGGTTTGGCATTTTTTATGGCAATAAGATTTCTAAAAAGACAACTCACAAATGATTTTCATGGAATATTAGCAACCAAAAATTCCTTTCACCAGCAAAGTCATTGTCCAAGTGTTCATTTTTAAAGTTGACCAACTTCCAACTCATTTTCTTCTACCATGTCTTCTATTTGACCTACAGAACAAATACAAAAGGTTTGTGACAGGTTATAGACAGTACATTTGTTTTTATTTCACTAATCCAAACTAAAACTATATTTTTGTCCTTAATTTTCAATCAATCTATAATGAAACCAGCTGAAATTAATCTGCTTCTTCATTTCTACTGCTCTAAATATTAAATTACAGAAACGGATTGCTTAACTGAATATTTCAGAAATAAAAGGCAATATTTTTCCCATTTCTCTCTATAAAAACAATTTTATCACCTTGGCTCACCACAGGTAAGATTGTTTCCCAAGCCAATCACAGAATTTTATTTAATGTGCCTATTTCTCATTTCAAGATCCTAATTAAATAAAACATACTGGGGAATATCTTTTTAAAAACTGATTTACTCAAAACACTTTGAATCATATATTATTTCTTCATTTATTTAATAATTTACTATGTTTAGTTTTAGTCTCATGCATCTATTATAAAAATCCTTAATTTCTTTGACAGTATGTAACAAATTCTAATAACATGTGGAGACAAAATGATGTAAATGTAATTAAGTTAAATTTATTAATCCTTAAAAATTACAGTAGCTCAACATAAAGTCAATTTTCCAATTCCTACTGATAAAATTGTTTTGTTAATGTTGTGGCAGTAAGATAATGTTCTAGTGATTGAAATAAATGATAATCTGAAAGTGTGCTAGCTCTGGTGAGCATGGAGAATAAGGTAAAATTTCATGGCCCTATGACATTTTATTTTTCTTCTGAGTTATTTTGCTGACTAAAGTCCTGCATTGTCATGCTGAAGAATGAAAGTCTTTCTGTTTAACAAAGCTGTGTATTTCTGGTATAATTCAGTAAGTAAGGTCTTCAGTAATGGTTTCTCTATACTCATAGTTGATATATCATGTTCCACCAGATGCATAGCAAATCCTTTGGTGGATAAAGTACTAGTTTTATATGTTGAGATCAGTTTGACATAAGTATGATTGATAACTTTTGTTAACCTACAAAACTCATTTTTCAACTCTTGTAACAATCTGGTGACAAAAAAAAAAGTTTTATTTCTGATCAGAAGAAAGTTACAAATCATTCAATGTTGTTCTCAGGTAAAAATTCATGGGAGACCTGAATACCCCACTCAATTTATTTTCCCATTGAAATATTTGTATAGTTGAATAAAATTAATTGTGCTTTTTTAAGCTAAATCTCTGGTGCTTTGATGAGGATTTGCTTTAACAAGTGCTTTTGAAATAATATTATCTAAAGTATTTTCTTCCTGAGAGAAGCTTATCAGTAAATGAGTCAATATTTTAAAACTTACTAAAACGTCAATCATGCAATAAAGTCATTGCACTTTGGTTTACAGCACTAATATTCTTCCTTGTCTGTGTGTTGCATTTGGCATTTTATGAAATCCATTCAACATGAAATAACAGGAATAACAGTTTCTTCTATATACCATGAGGTTCAAGTGATACTATAAACAAGGCACAGCTTGATAAAACTTATTTAACTAAATATCTCTCATTGTTTGCTATTTAACCTTGATTATGAAATAATCAGATGCTTCTTAGTTTATATATTTTTGATGCAATGTTACTTTCTGAACAGCCTTAATACCCTGTGATTAAGTCAAAAATTATTATTGTATGTGTATAAAGTATTGATTTTACACATATAAAAATGTTTAACATAAAATTAAAAAGCTTTCAATATTTAGATGATCATTCATGCCTAACCTTTGTACCCAGAAAATTGAAAATATGTACTTTTAAGTGTTTTGTTAGATGATTAAATTAGCAACAATCACAATATTATTACCTGAATTCAGATAATTATTAAGTAATATCCTGTATCAGAAATTCATTTTTAATGCTCTCTAGATTAATAGATAAATATAATGTAAGCATTCCTTTACAATGAAATATCTACACTAAATAAACAGTAGTTGCTCTAAAAGTAATGCATCCTACTTTTTATTATGCTGGTCCAGAACATCAGTGGCAGATGGTGACATGGCAGTAAAAGTTAAACCATCCTGTCAATAATTTATTTTTTCAAAACTGAACATCAATCTGGCACCTTTGAAGGGACATATAAAGCAGAAATGTATAATTGAATTCTCTAAAAAGAAAAAAATTGTGCCCATTGACATTCATCAATACTTGCTGACCATTTATAGAGATCAAACAGTGAATCTGTACAGAGTTAGGCAGTGAATAATACATTTCAGCAGTGACAAGCCATGTCCTAGCCAACCCTGCATAACTGTCAACCCATAAAGTTATTAAGCCTTTTGTTCTTCACTGGCAAAAAAAAATGCATAATCCATGGTGTTGACTGGAAAAATGGTTTTGTAGGTGAAAACTTGCTCTGTTATTGTTCTCTCAATCTATTATAGCTTCCATGCAGATAAATAGGAGGCATTACTTTCAAAGCTTCCCTTCTGCTTTTGAAATCATTAAAGAAGGAATTGTATTGAAAATAATGTAATTATTTCCATATTCCTGATAAATCTTCAAGCAAACACTGGCAGAACATCTTATGGTAATTTCAGCTTGGTTGTAATCTCAGCCAGTAAATCATAAAAATATTACCTAACTTGGTTACTTTTTGATTTTCCTAAACAATGAAAACTGTTCTAACTTTGCAAAATACAAGAGCTGACACAGAGGTTTACATGAAAACTTTTAGTATATTGTCATCAGCATCATTTATTTTCAGAGATAAGGTCACTTCCTTCTTAGAAATTGATGTATGTAAGTGTGGTGTAATTTTTATATATTTAATAACAGTTTGACATACATTGTTTTAATGAAAACTGACATGCAAAATGAAGGTATCAATTACTTATATATTTATAATAAAATATATGAAGGTAGTTTCTGTATACTTTGTTTTTAATTGTTTTACAGTATTGTTTTTTTGTTAACTATTTATTGTAGAATCTTAAAAAATTGCATTTTACTGTTAGATCAGGCAAAAGGAAAGATTTTATTGTCTAATAGGAAAATGGTTCTCACATATAAATCTATAATATTTATAGATACTATTTAAACTAGAATTATTGGCTGATATTTACTATTGAGTTATGATTTTCTGAATAAACTGATGAATGTCTTAAGTTATAAATATATAATAAATAATATTTTGGATTAATCCATTTAGAAATAATTGTATATGAGGTTGTTTAATAAAAGCATCGAACTTTGAACAAATGTATAAGATTTTTACACTTTCTTGTGAGTCCATATTATAAATGGATTTACAATTCTTAAGATTAATTTTCTCACCATTCCTAATTTTAATAAGTAAAAAAATATTTCTGAAATCAAAAGGGAAAAAACTTTTTAGTTAATGCTGATTTTTTTCCTCTCATTTGAAAGAATTTTTGTATACCAAATGAATAGTTTATTATATAACTTTGAAAGAAATAACTATACAAGAAGAAATGAATTAAGTAAATATTACTATTTTCCTAATTTTTTTTTACAGGGGTGGGGTTAAAAAATTAAAAGATAAAATCTTTGCATATGTTACAAAATTTTGTAATTTTCAACAAGAATCATTTACTATAGATTTTTAAAAATGTTTATTTGCTGAAATTCTGTATTGCTGATATTTTTTGGTGGGGATTAAACTATTTGACTCTTTGTATACTTATGATTTTCGTATATTTATTTCCTGTTTACTTTTCTGTTTTTAAAATTTTTAATTGCATTCTTATGCTTGATTTTTAAAGATTTAAAGTAAAAATGGGTAACTTAATACTTTGTAAATTCTATCATTTTTGGACAAATAACTGTTTTTATCATAAAAATGTTTTATTTAATCTTTTATATTTATTTCTTAAAGGTTTTCTTTTTTTTAATTTACATAAAATTAAATTTGACACATCAAAATGTTTTTGAATCCATTTAATGCTGATTATGAAAATTTCCATCATTGCAGTTCGATAGCTAAACTGCAAATAACAAATTTCTATTGTAGTTTATGGGTTAAGTATAATTCTATTGCATATGTAAACTAAAAAACAATATTATTTATTCATGAGATTATAATCTTAATCTGTTGACAGAAACTTTATGAGCATGTGTATTTTATGTTAATTTTAGATAATAATTTTTTTTTTTTTTTCAATGTTATATGCATGAAATGCTTTGTCCTTATTTGTAATATTACTATAACATATCTTACTCCACAAAAAAAATATTTTGAATTTAGGTATCATCATGAGATATTATCCTAAAGGTGAGGTTAAATGGACTGTTACATTTTTTTTTAAATTTTCTCCCTTCCTGTCCCAAAAATAGATTCCTCTGCTCAATGTCAATTCTAGATTTTAATGCAACACCAGACTATTTAGAGAGAAGAACACCTTTCTAATATCCTTATTAAAACAAAAATGCTTTTGCAAAAATAAGACAAAATTATATTTTCCTGCGTATGTTTCTTTTTGGTGATGGCAGTGCTTCTGTCTACTAACTTTGAATATTTTCTTACTAATCTTGACCAGATTTTATTAACAGGACCAACCAATTTTGCTCAAAAACTTTTAAGCTAAATTTGAATGCTTCAGAAGCTTGGTGTGTTTGTGAACTTAATTTTCCAACCTAAAGCAGCCTTTTCTACCCAGATTCGTTTCTTAGCTTCTGTCAAACATAATTTTCTTTTTTTAAGAGCATGCTCATACCTCTTCCTCTGGCAAGGGCAATGGCAATATTTAAATGAGCACATTTACTATAGCATTATGCATGATTGCAATTATCAAACAATCGGCTTTTGAGGATTACTGAATAGTCGCTAAGATTTCAAATAACTCTCTGGCCATTTGCTAGCATTAATATTTGCAAATTTACACAATATGTCTGATTTGGACATGGTCTTTACCATATGGCAGCATTTCTTTCTTTTTTTTTTTTTCAGGCTCTTTTGCATGCTTTTAACTTTTTACATTGCTGCCATACATCTTATATCAGCAAATGCTATTTTTACCATAATTAGATTGATAAAGTATTTGAGATTGAAGAAATTCTTTTTTTCTTCAAAATTATATTTGTTCATTAGTGAAATTGATAGATATATGAATACAGAGTTAACTTATGCTTTATATACAATTATAAAAAACTTAGATTTATCTTAAATAATTTTTCTATTTTTATGCATTAACCTTGTTAATAAACAAAAATATTTTTATAATTTTTTTAAATGCGCTTCCTAGTATCATTTTATTTTTTAACAGCATGATTATTTTTAAGTAGGTAATTTTTCACATTTTATTTTTCTCTGTACTGTATCAGAAAAATATGACAGTTATTTATGTATGAGAAAAGTTGTGCATATATTGTTCTATTCAAGTTTTTTTTTTCATACTTTCAAATTATTTGGTAAGAAGGTTACCTTTATACTTAGCATATGTTTAAAGAGAAGAATTAAATGAAGGTGAAAATATTTTTTGAATATATGACAACTAATATTCAAGCAATGGAATGCTAGTGGCTTCTGTATTTTTGTACTTATATAAATTGATATATTTTAGTTTAGCATGTTAGTGAAACAAATTTTAGTACTCATTTGCAAATATCAACAAATATTGTGTAGCTTTTAGTATATATATAAATTATTAAAATATAATTATTCAAATGATATCTTAATTTAAAGTACCTCGGTGAGAAGTTTTCTTTTTTTTGTTTTCGTTTTCTTAAGAATGGAAATATGTGAAATTAGACTGACTTTAGAGAATCACTGATCCTTCTCGGCTTTTATTTATAATGTTCTCTTTTTTACTAAATACTCCTACATTATCCATTTTCTTTCTCTGAATACATCCAGCATCAGTTCAGGTAAGCTTGATATTCATTTTTGTCAGCCAAAAGGAGTTTATATTAACACTAAAATCAGAATGCACAGTATTTTTAATAAATAAATAACTTACATTTTTATTTATTTATGACTGATACAAATATTTACTTTCACAGTTAAACTGTTGATTAGTTTTCTCTTAGAAAATTTTCTTTTTACTTTTCTTCTCAGATGGGTATGCCTTTTCTCAAGAAGAACACGGTGTGATCGCACAGGTAATATTTAATTTCTCTTTAGTTGTTTATAAAAATGCAACAAGTTAGATTTTTTAATCCATTTTACTTAGTGTTAACTTTCAAGTATTTATTGTATTTGATGGCGTATAAGACTCCTTCCCATTAATATTACTGTATTATGGAATTAGGCTAATTTGCAGCTAGCCTATCAGATAGCTTGACTAGATACTGGAGGCATATTTTGTGCCTTTTTTTTTTTCTAGGTCACTATATTGAGAATGTAATTGTTTATATCTTATTACTATGAAAGAAAGGAACACTTGAAATGCATATTATACTTGCTAATTTTTCTTCCTTTGTTTTTTCATTTTTGCTTAGTCCTGGAAATTATCTAAATTATATATTCATATTACATTGAAAGTTGCTGTTTAACTTCCTTCAATTTTGGGAAACAATTAATTCCATAGTTTCATTTATTCTAATAAGAATTTTTTATTCTTTTCAGGCGGAGTTGATCCGTGTTTATGATACTACAAAATCTAAACCTGAAGGCCTCTGAGCTTCCCTGCTCCTCGGCGCTGGGCCTGCCCTGTTGTCATGGTCAGCATCTGTTACAATCAAGTGATGATGGTGTAGATCTGATTGGGACAGTGACTGTCTCCTGACCAACCTTTATTGGTTGTCCTTGCTGAAGTCTCTCTTCTTGCAAGTGGAGCCACATTACTGCAGCCTGCAGACAGGGGAAAAAAAAGTTGTGTGTGTATACACACAATAATGAAAAAAATCATTAAAATGAGCAAAAGAAAGGAAAAAAAATATAGCTGGAATCATCAGACAATCTTCCAAGCAATTATTCTGTTTCAAAATGTTTTGGTTTCAGATGTTTAATCTACCAGTGAGTCCAATGATAAATTTATATTATCTAAATATTTTATATATATATATATATATATATATATATATATATTGAATTTGTCTCTCACCCTTACCCAATTTATTCATCTTGTGATGAAAAAAGTTCAGATTTGCCCTGTAAGAGAAATAAATTACAAATAAAAAAAAAAAAAAGAAACCCACCACAAAAAAAGAAAAAAAAAACAATGGATCTTTCTGAAACTTTCCATATTGTTGGGCTTTGGTTGCATAAAAACCAAATGTTAAAGACTGGTTGATTTTTGTTTTTTGTTTATCTTACTCTCTTCTTTTTGTCTTGTTTTCATTTGAACAACTACAAATTTGAAAATTGTTGATTTTATCATCTTGTAAACCTTTCTAAAGTTAATATTGTTTCTTTGGTTTTTATTGGAAGACAAAAAAAATTGTTATCTCCTCCAGATTCTATTCCTTTCCTCTCCAAGTAAACAAAGCTGCTTGGATTAAGGAAACTGGTAAAAAGTGTGAGCTTTGTCTTTTTTTGTTTTTGGCAGTGTTTCTTTATTAAAACCTCTTATGAATCCTGAAGCTACAAACCAATAACCAACCAATCTGTGTCCATAAACAATGACTCACAATTTCAACTGGCAGTGAAAAATTGAAATGAACACACACATGAACTACTAGACATTTGTCATGAAGACAAACCAGTCTTCACGACATACTCATTTGTCACTTTTGCTCGTGCGCCCTCTCTCTCTCTCTCTCAATATCTTCTCAGTTTCAATGAACACTGATAAGTGTCATGTTGGATTGACTGAGCTTCTACTTTTGGTCATTTAACATAATTGGTAAAGAAAAAAGACTGGCTGAAATTCAATGGCTTACAAGTCACAACCAAATCTGTCTTGCGCAATTCAACTTTGACAATATTTAGATAAATTTTACTTTTTTGTAGAATTTAGATATAATCGAACAGTTTATTTTATCTATTGCAAATTTATGAATTTTTAACTATTTTCTTTGATTTTTATTTTAGAATTTTGTTCTATTTTTAGCTCTTTGCTTCCTAATTCATGTTTAATTTTGCACTTTGCTTTTTACAAGTTCAGTTTTCAGATCAGAAATTGCAATTATTACTTAGTTTTATCACAACAATTTGATTTTATTACGTGAGCATTTTTTTTTTTCACATTTCCTCTCAGTGAAGAAAAAATGTAATTTTTCTTCATAATTTAATCCATTTGATTTGTCCTGTTTTGTAGATTTTTTTTGTGTTTGTTCTACAATAGTGTTGTCTTCTTTCTTTTACATTCTGATCTCTACTAATAAAATTACCTACTCTTCCATCCCTTCTTGTGTTCTTATGCTATTAAATCAGTTGTAATCTTCTGCCATATCAGTCTCTGTTTGACTTGCCATCCCTCCTGGCATATTCCCTGGATTCAGATCTTTTAAATATTCAAAAAGGTCACTCAATGCAATACAGTTGAGTACTCTCTTCCTCCTCCTCCTCCTATTATTATTATTATTATTATTATTATTATTATTATACCTCCATATTTTTTCATCGCTAATTCATCAGCTTGTACAAACTGGTGAGGTAACAAAATTGCTCTATTCATTCACTTTCATTCAGTGATTTACTGGAATTTTTCTTTAATTCTTAAAGAAAATAAAAGAGAATTAAATCTAAAAATATCTCTTATCTAATGCAACAGAAGAAAAGTATTTTTCTTTTCCAGAAGTAGTCAATATTTCAATCCATAAACCTTCTCTTTGAACTTGTCTGTTTGTCATTACAATGATGGTGGTGATAATAATATAAACTCAAATTCAGGTGGCCACATTGAAAAGCTATTTTTTCATGCTGCTCCATATTAACAACTAGATGCTTGCAACATTACACATTTTAAAAATTGGGGTCTTGCAAGTTAGCATGCTTTATGCAGACATAAAATAAATATTAATCAGAGTCAAGTGTATTAACATTTTAAAATGCAATTAATAATCAATTTCCTATATATATAATTTTAATTGGGCTTCTGATCAAAATAAAACTTGGTTGCTAGAATCCAGTGGCTATGAACTCTAACTTAAATTTGCCAGCTTCACTTTGAACAGAATGTACTACCTTTTGCTCATATGTGCACAGGTGAATGACTTGTGGACAGGCAGTGGGCGCATATCTTGTTCATTCGGAAATCAAAATAAAATACTTTATTTCTTCATTTTTCTCTCCCTACATCTTTAGGAAAAGGAAAATAAGTTGGAAATTGCAGCTGATTACTCCTGTTACATTGAGCTTTTGTTTTCACTCTCTTTCTCTTCCTCCTCTTCCTCTTCTTCTCCCTCTCTTTGTTGAGAGAGATAATAGAGGCTTTGGAAAAGTGGTTCTGAGCTGACTTTAAAGCTTCCCAAAAGCTTCTCTTCATTTGATCAGGTCAGAGCATCATTCTGCTTGCTGACCCATTTCTTTCTTTTTTTTTTTTTTTTTTTTTTTTTTTTTTTTTGAGTTCTGTTCTGTGTGTATGTGTGTCTCTGAGGTTCAACAATATAATGAACTACAGAACACTGCCATTAAGTGTTGCACTAAAACTTCAATATTGGAAGATTTTGTTGTCAATTTTGTCCATTATCTGAAACCATTTCTCTCTCTAGTTGCTATTGCTGTAGGTGGAGTTTACTTTGTTGAGCAGTCAGATTCTTCTGTTCTCTTCATGGCTTTCTTATACCAACATTTTATTCAATTCTTGTACCCATTTTATTATAATTATTGTTATCTGATGCCCATGTTAATGGTTACTTTTGAATAAGGGACAAATTAGTAATTGAGAACTGATTTCTATATATGCATTTATAATGTAATAAGCATCTGCTAAAGCTTCATATTTAGTGTGTCAGTTGTATATTAGGCTGCAAAATCTTTTAAACTTTTTTTTATCAGAAAATTTCAATATCTTTCCAATAAGATATAATTACTCAGACTTTTAGCAATAAATAATACAATTGGACACATGTGCATACACACACATGTGCTAACAAGAATTTCACTAAGTATCCTACATTCCATTAATATAATTTATTAAAATCTTTCATAATATACTTATTTTGATTTAGTACTTCAACAAGAAATATTCAATATGTTTCTAAAGCCTTATCAAAAAGTAAATCTTGACATCTGTACTGAATGCTGTTTTTTGTTGACTCTATGGAACCAGTTTCCAAATATCTTCTTAGTAAAGGAAAAAAAATAAAAGGAAGAAAAAAATTTCTGTTAAATACTCTCTCATCTATGATTCATACTTGTTGCTAACTGCAGCTTACAATGCAACTTTGCACTATTTTTGCTCCTTGGGCCAGAAACTGTGAGTGACCATTTCATCTCTCCACAATCAAAGTGGACAGTTGTTCTCTCCGTTACCAAGACTGAGAACATTTTTTATTATCCTTCAAAGAAATATTAACAACTTTCAATAGATTTGTTTTGTTCAGCTTCATTGGTCTATTTGTTTATTAATCCCAAATCTGGCAGCTTATTTTGTCCACTTGTTGCTACTGACTAGAATTTTTTTAACCTACAGCCTAGCATTTTATTTAAATCTCTCTCTCTCTCTTTTAACCTCATGCCCTTTTCCAGAAATGGCTCCTGCAGAATTGTACTAATTTAACACTTGAATATTTGCCTGGTCATAACTGATAACCTTTCAACAAGGTGTTAATAGATTTGGAAACCATCCACCATTTATTCATTGTTAATGTTAACCTGCAACATGTGAAATGTGAGTTCCGCTATTTGGTGTTGACTTACAGTTTTGAACCAATTTTCACACAGGCTGCATCTGATCATCCTTTACTGGCCTTCTTTTTACTTTTGTATAACAGTTCCTTTTCTCTGAGCTATATGAGCACACACAAATACATCAAAATGTGTTCAAATGCATAATTACTGATAATTTACTCCAAAACACTAATAAATTTACCAACACAGCAAGTATACCTCATACATTTATTATAGATTTTAGAATAGAACTCATTAAAAACTTCAGCCAGTTACTTGACCTGTATATCTAAAATTGAATGTTTTACTCTTTAATTTTAATTTATGAAAAATTAACTGATCTTGCTTAAACCAAGTCAAGATCACATAAATGACTTAATATAATTATGTGTAATGAAGGCAAGTCTGTGACATCTCAAGAAATGATTCTATTCAGTTGCCTAATTAAGAGGAGTAGCTTCCATTATTTATACCCATTTGCCTTAACTGCCCTGGAGTTCATTTCCTTTGGGAGGTAACAAAAGCCTTCAATTATTGCATGTATGAAAAATTGTCATTTCTTTTCTTATTTAAACAAACCCTTATTTTAAGGAAAAAAATATTCAACTAAACTTTCATTCCAAGCCAAATTATTCAATAAAGTTGCTTTAAGAATGCAACATGAAGCTGCTTTTATTTGTGATGAAAATCTACACATTAAAGGCTCTTCTTCTTTCTTTTTTTTATCTATAAGAGCACAAAATTCTTATCAAACCATTTTACATTCCTGTTCTGTATATCTCAGAAAATGAAGAATTCAGTTGCATGATTTCCCCATGTGCTAACAAGTCTGGCTGAAGTTTGTTTCTTTATATAACTAAACATGTCAGTAGATAAGAACATAAGGTAATAACTGTTTATTTGAA